GCTCCGTGACCTGAGGTCACACGTCCGTGGCCGTGACCGAAGCGACCACCTCCATCAGCCAGGCACAGCCCGACCAGCAGGAAAGCGGTGAAAATCTGAAAATCGGGGAAATGTAAGAGAGCTTCCAATCGAAGTATATGGCGGAGCACGCGCAAAGTAAAACTTGGCAGAGGTGGGTGAATATTGAACTGCATTGATCACATGTGAACATGCGTTATTTATAGCTTGAACGTTGTTTTTTGCATATGAACGGTCTTATGTAACGTAATGATATAAGGAAACACAACCAAAAATGTTTTATGTGAGCAGCAGAAAATTTAGGGATTAATCATAATGCCAACAATTACGATATCGATTGCACAGAAACATGAATGATGAAGTCACTTGAATCCTTGATGTCCAAATTCCAAGCATTAACGCTATGTAGTATGTCTTAGGTCACTGCAACAATGAACGTGATTCGGAAACTAATACACATGCACTAAGCAAACTGTGGTAACACTTCCTCACTAAAATGGGTCTCTGTTGAATCTTGGAGATTCACTCCAATATCCTACCTTAGTGAGCGCCATGTTGACAGCTGGTGCTCGACACTGCGAGTGTGTCTGTCTGGGCCAATGGGTGCTCTTTATAGGTAGCCGCGGACTGCTCGCTGTGCAATCCGTGCACGATCGGTCCCAGGCTCTGTCCACTGTGCACTGCACGGTGCACGGTGCACGTGCTGCGCGAGCGGCAGACCACGCGGCGCGCGGAGAAAGCCGCAGGAAACAGACTCTCTGTGTCTGATCGTTATCCGGTGGCATAGCGTCGTCGCAATCGGTTACGATGAACAAATGAATGGTGGGGTTTCGACCAAAAAACGGAGAGATCGCCGTCATTGTCAGCTGCCCGAGTTTCCGGTGACCGTGTGCTGGTAGGTCATTTATGTCAGATCGGGGATATTGTAGTTTTGCAACAGGGTACCCAGTTAACTATACCAGAGTTGCGTTAGGTTTGCTGGGAATATGTCCCCGTACATACACATTGTATTAATTATGTCATACCTACATGCCTTTGTTTTAGACACATGGACATGTTCCTTGCAAATCTCAATCGTGCGTTATGGAGCAGCATACTGTATTTCATAATGCCACAGAACATAAAGATATGGGCGCTACAAAGAGACACTTGATTTCGTCAACTGACCTATTATTAAAACTGGCATGCAGAAGACTTGTAGGTAAGTTGTATGACATGTCTCTCTAAAAGCTGCTTACGCCGTTATGTGCCGCAAATAGCCTCTTCATGCAGTTTCTCGAAGAATCAGCTGAAGTTACCCGGTCCCCAAAGTTCACCCTTCAATAACTAGTTTAATTTGGATTGACCACCTTTCACACGATAATTGATGAAATACATGAAATCCTATCATAATACCTAGGGCCTATCATATGTATGATAGGATTTATCGTCTATTGATATTTCAATAACTATTGAGGAAAATGTCATTCCAAATTAAACTATTGACTTTTTAATATTCCTCGCAAGAGCACTCCGTACAGTTTCGTCAAGGGGTAAGTTGGAGGCATGCGCGGTTGTTGATTAGACAAGGGTTCACTTCACTTACTCCGCTGAATGGACGCTTACCGCGAACACAGACATATATCATCTCAATCAAAGCCCACGTAGAACTGGGGTAGAAGGATTATCGATTGACACACTGTTTCCAATTACATTCAAGAGAATAGCGTTGATCCTGTTTAAACAAGGAAACGACGTGCCGGCATTTCGGTGCTGTTTTTTATACGTTTCTAATTTCGCCGGCTGGCCTTCACTGGAATAAAAGTTAAAACTTAGTGGGGAATGACGCAAACGCATGTATGGTGAAAAAGTACAATACATCGCAGGGTGGGACATATCTCCCATTACGATGTGTCCCGTTTTTCTGCTACTCTCAGAAAAAGATGCGCCGAGGAACAAGACTCTCGACATGTGCGGATTGGCAAATACCGTGTGCAAAAGCACGCCCTGATGTGGTCTCGTGATGATGAAAAGAAAAATTGCTCGGGTTGCCTCCTAATGTAGGTACGACGTCATTTTTGAACTGCTAAATTCAGTATTCCTTTATTCTCTGCCGTATGTACAATGTACATACATTGCAGCCGAGACGGCCAGGTTGATAGATGATGACTGATAGCGAGGATTGAACCCGTACCTACATTTGCGGCCTCGACCACGGCCCGAGAAGCAATTAACTGCGTCTGCACAGAGGTAATTACCTATCTGACGAGCAGTTCAGAGGATACACCAATAATTGATTGAAGAAATTAAACTCACGATATTAATCGATATGACAGTTAGGTATATGTACTATAGGAATAATAACTCTTTAGACTGTATCCTCGTGGAGCGTGTAGTGTGTTAGCCTGTAAATAAATGATTTTGTTTCCTGCGCCTTCTTTTCCGCTTCGGAGCGACAACCGGTGATTTTGAAGCGACCTTCGTTCGGATCCAACGCCAAATATAAGCGCACACGGGGCAAAAGCATTGGATAAAAGGGGAACTTCTCATGGTATCTAGACTGAATCTTATATATAATATCGTTGAGATACTTGGCGCGTTCAGACGGTGTAAGGTCCCCCAACCAAAGGGCCAAGCCCGTCTCGAACAATGGGCTGTGCGGTGAGTTCCTCTCCACTGCTCCGCTCGAGAGGACCGGTTAGCTAACGGTGCGCGCGCACTGCGGGACCGACGGTACCCATGGGAACGCTCTGGCCACTCTGCAGAGCTGAGTGCTGACGCAGAGGCCAGCTGCAGCGGGCTGACCCTGACCGACGCCGCGACGGCCCAGAAAAGTGCTCGCGGCTTGGCAGTTGACACGCACCGGCCGGATCCCTGCCGAGATCGGCGAGTGGCCGCCCGGCGCCGACCGGCGGCGCTCGTCACCGCCCAGCGGTCGCGCGGGTAGCAGCACGAGATGCGCGGCCTGCCCAGAGTCGAACGATCAACTAATGCGTCTCCTATTGGCTATTTCCAAAGTGTCAGCTAGATACTCACCTTGGTGTGTGTGTGGGGGGGGGGGATATCTGGCTTTTGTACAATGGGATAAGACGTTTTGTAGCACGGCCACGGCGGCCCGTGTAATGTGTATATATACATTAACACCCTGTACCACACCCTGTCCATGTATACACATGGACAGATGTGTATACCTGTATACAGGTATACACATTGCATATTCATATATACTTGCCTACAATTGGCAAATTCGCTTGTGGTTAAGACGCTGATAAAAAATATTTAGGTAGGTATATATAAAAAACGAAAATCGGGCACCACTAAAATTAAGTGGCCGAAATCCGTGGTTATGGACACTGAGAGCCTGAGTGGTGCCTCTACTAAGCCGCTGGTGCCCCTGGGCCCTGACAGGACTATGGTGCCCCTGAGAAGCCTGAAGTGTCCGCAACGGGCACTTGGTGTCCCTGACAGGCCCAAGGTGCCCCTTCGAGACCGGTGGTGCCCCTGGCAGGCCTGTGGTGCCCCTGACAGGCCTGTGGCGCCCCTGGAAGGACTGTGGTGCCCCTGAGCCCTGACAAGCCTGAGGTGCCCAGGTGCCCGCCTTACAGGCCCGTGGTGCCCCTGACAGGCCCATGATGCCCTTGCTAGGCCTGTGGTACCCCTGGCAGGCCTGTGGTGCCCCTGGCAGGACTGTGGTGCCCCTGCTAGGCCGCTGGTGCCCCTGGGCCCTGACAGGGCTGTGATGCCCCTGACAAGCCTGAAGTGCCCTCGACAGGCCCAAGGTGCCTCTGCGAAACCGGTGGTGCCCCTGGCAGGTCTGTAGTGCCCCTACCAGATCTGTGGTGCTCTTGCTACGCCAATGGTGCTCGCTCCTGACAGGCCTGTGGCGCCCCTGGCGGGCCTGTGGCGCCCCTGCTAGGCCGCTGGTGCCCCTGGGTCCTGACAGGGCTGTGGTGCCCCTGACAAGCCTGAAGTGCCCCCTACAGGCCCAAGGTGCCCCTGCGAGACCGGCGGTGCCCCTGGTAGGCCTCTGGTGCCCCTGGCAGGTCTGTGGTGCCCCTGACAGATCTGTGTTGCTCTCGCTAAGGCGATGGTACCGCGGATACGGATTCTGAGCAGTAATCGTCACGCACTTTCAGAATGTGGATCGCTCATGATTGCTCAATGCAATACAATACAATACAATGGTGCTCCTGACAGGCCTGTGGTGCCCCTGACAGGCTCGTGGTGCCCCTGCTAGGCGTGCGGTGCCCCTGGTGGGTCTGTGGTGCCCCTGTTAGGCCTGTGACGCCCGTGATAGGCCGGTGGTGCCCCTGGCAGGCCTGTGGTGCCCCCGGGTCCCAAAGGGGGTCATGACCATTGACCCATGTGACTCCTCCCCTTGGATCCGTCGCTGTTTGAAATATTGATATTCGAGTTTTTAATTCTTTCCATGTACTACCAATTCTACCATAGGTGTTATGATAGAATTTGGAGCCTTGAAACCCGAGGCCCCAAGCACATACACTTCCCAAACTCCAAAGGCCCTGCCGGCTCTGCATCTTTCCCCTTCGGCACGCGGCCGCCATGAGCTGGATTGAGAACATTGAGCCACGAGATTCAAAATTCAGTGTCTTTCCTCCTGTCCTTTCAGCCTTGAAAATGAATTGTCAGAATTAGGTTACCTGTTGATTTTATGCAATTGCATGCACCAAAAATAGCCATACACAACTATTTATGCAAGAAAAATAACTGAAATCATAAGCTATCAATACACGAATGCGGATAAAATAAATTCGTAGCAGCATCTCTTGTATCAGGTTCTGGTTTGAAAATTGTCTTCCTACTAGAAACATTTTGCAAATTTTACTGAAGTTACGTTGAATATGTTGAATTTTCAGCCTAGGAAGATAAAAACGAAATAAATCAAAATAAAAGAAATCTTAAAATTTTGAGTTTTAAATTTACAGCTTTAAAAGGAAAATTGCGGAGCGAAGGAAGCTTCTACTAGCTATTATACTGAATTTGAATTTCCTACTATTTAACCGTAAACATCTCGTCGAAAAGGGCGGACGAGCGCTGGTAAGTTGCTTGCATTTATTGTATTTGTTATTTTGTCTTGAATGAAGTTTCTTAAATGCATTTTTCTTTTACCGCTTAGGGCGCCTTTGGATGGACTTCTTTGAATCTGGGCTAATTATTTTGGTTTCACTGTGATTCGGCTGCGCCACATTCGCCTTTGATGTGTAAAACAATTTTATATGCTCTTTATGCCTCATTTCATAAAAGGTTTTTATGTCTGAACACCATTGACTTTGACTTTGACACCACTTTGACTCCCACCACAATGTGTGGGACCAACGTCATATCGCATGTTTGAACGCTTGAAACCACGAAAAGTCTGGAAACACGAGGGTAATGCGAGCCTACATACCTATGCCGAATCGTGATTCCAGCCAAACATGGTCTCGAGAAATAGGTCACAGGTCAAAGGTCATTTTGGTCAGGGCAATTTAATTTTCAGGATAGGTAATGATGAACTTGAGGGTACCTATTGAAAGTTTTGTTGTGATCGGCCACTTTTTACGCAAGTTATTCGTGAAAAACCCAGGGATCTGATCAACCCGTCCCCACACCCACTGCCCTTCCCCCCTATACAGGCCAGGGTTATTATCTGTGTTGTGCACTTACTTTTTCTGTCATTATTGTTCCACATTAATAACAAACCATAACTTATTCTGCAGGTTTTCCTTGTGATTTTCTGTATTGTCGTCCTCAAGAAATGTCCCAGCCTCTGCTTGATGTGGATCCTGTTTGCTTCCGGGCCTGTTTTCCAGGCGGTCAATGCCTTATCATCACTACCGTCCTTGACCATGTGATGTATGGTAATTTGTCCCAAAGGCAGCAGATCCTGGAGACATTAAACAGGTATGCCTTTAGGGTGGGTGCTGATGGTGATCACTCATTTTCATATTGCTCCTCTGGCTTTGTTTCCCCCACCCAAGATACTGAACTTAATACATAATTTATTATATCACACTAAGCATTGTTATCTACACTGCAATGCAGCTATTTATTACACTTCAATTTTGTATGCTTTGGCCTAAAATGCCATCAATGTCCAGGGGAGAGTGGGGCACATTCGTGCAAAAATGGATAAATCCATATATCTGTTCTTTGGCTAGTGCAACGACAAAGTTGTTGATTGTAGTATGGGAAGGAACTATTGCAGATATTTTTCCTCTTTGAAAGTTATCCTCTAAAATTATTGCTTCTATTAGAAAAAAATGACTTTTAATAACTGAACGTTTGCACGAAACTGCCCTGAGTGCCCCACCTATGGGGCACATTCGTGCAAGGGAGTGGGCACTTACGTGCACCCTGCAAAGTTCGAGAAATTTCCGGGCATTACCAGAAATTTAATAAAGGAAATTGGCAAGGGGTCATTTCTCTTGATTCCTTTTGACAAGAATGCATTGCAATTTGCACAACATATGTAGAAAGAATGGGATGGCCAACAAGAATGTGCCAACTGCCGGCCTCCGTGACCTCGCCAAGTTCGCGTGAATTACTCGTCACGACGTCTCAAGCAGCCGAGACTGAGTCAAGCGAGCGTCATTAGTGAAACCTACTACAGATAAAGAAATAAATCGCAAAACTAAAAGAATATGCACGAATGTGCCCCCAGGCAGTGCGTACACGACCTGCCCCACAACGTATATTTCAAAATTTCTTGTTGAAAAAATGACACTTTGTCAACAAACAAGTTTGCAGCAGTTTCGTGAATAGAGTGAGCTTCTTCGCCCCCCCCCCCCAATTTTGAAAAGCTAAACCACATTTCCGAGTCAGGATCACAAAAATGGATGATATGAGGAAAGTTTGGAAAGCTCACGAATATTACAAATTTGCGTTTTTATCAAGCATGACAGCAGGTACAGTGTTGTCTTCTACGGTGAACGAAGGGCGGCAATGATATACATATTTCCATAATTTACCTTGAGCTCGTGCAGTCACTCGTGTTCCCATAAACTGCTGAAAACGAATGTGCCCCATGCACGAATGTGCCCCACTCTCCTCTACTGGAATGTTGTCAGTGGCACCATACTACGAGTTCATTTTTTAGGCCATGGATTTTCTATCTTGCAAAATGCCAGCAAAAATGATTTGAGTTTTGATTTTGCCATTTTGGCCTCTTTGTTATGGCTCTGTTTCCAGGTCAATGCACTACCATAAGTGTAATCTGATCCTTATCTAGCCGAAATTCATGTTCATGTCTATATGTTTTGATATTGATGTAAGAGATAAAAGCATTTATGGCTTTCGACCATAAGTGTAATGGCCCACTTTGTTTTTGCTGACCTGTCCTGACTCGGCCTCGGACGGCTGACTATCTGTACACGGTGTTGCTGCCCTGTCCTGACTCGGCCTCGGACGGCTGACTATCTGTACACGGTGTCCGGCGCCGACAGAGACGGGCTGACGGCCGCTGTCGAGGAGGAGATCCGCGCCGTCTGCCGCCAGCTGTTGGCCAGCCCCGAGTATCCCAGCACCGTGCACCAGCGTCTCACCACCATCCTAGTCTGTATCCTTACCAGCGGCGTAACCTCATTGGGACGCTGTACCAACGAAATGCAGCGTTGGGGCGGGCGTCGTAACGTGGACCGAGCGTCTTGCACGACAGTTCTGTGTCCGATATTTGTGTGATGCTGTTGCCTTGTGGTTGTACTGAGTACTGACCGTACCACCATGTACCGCGATTTCCTTCACTAACCGCTCCAGCGCCCGATGATCGCCATCCTGTTCTGACGCCGACCGGAAGCGACCAGCCGCCGGCCTGCACACTGGTGGTGGCCGTCAACCCAGGTCACGAGCCCCGCCCACACTGTGCGCTTGTCCTCGTAAAACAAAACTTTCTGTTTCGGCCACTAAGTTTGGTGAATGTTTAAAACTGCAGGCCCAAATTTGGTCAAGTTTTAGATGAGAGCTGTAAAACAATCTTTCGTGTTGTTTGCTATATCATGGTTTTCATATTTCCTTTCCAATGTAACGAGACATCCTAATGGCGCAGCCTTATCGTTCAGATGTTACTAGAAGTTTGATGGGTCCTTAGCTATAGCTGTAAGTTTTTGTGTTCAGCTAGATACAGCTCAATTTTCATTGAACAGTTAATTATGCCATATGTAAAGCACGATCCCTGTGAGACTGACTGATTGTTGTGCTGATTACAGAGGGCGCTTTGGACCAGGTGTGGGACGGTGTCGTCTCTCGACTGCACCAGTTTGAGGTTTTCACGGACCGGCGGCGCTCCAGGATGGTGCCGCCTCGCCGCAGTCGCCGCCTCAGCATCATGCCGGAGCCGGCGGCGGCCGAGCCTGCCGCCGCCGCCACGAGCCGGCCCCGCGCCGCCGGCCGGGGCAGTCGCTCCAGCCGGGTGACGTCGCCCGCCCGGCGACCGGCCGAGCCGCGCGCTGCGCCCCAGCCCTCCGCCAAGCGAGGACGCGGCGCCGGAGGCTCCGGATCGTCCACCAGCAGCTCGCGGCTGCCGACCAGAACGGCCGCCGTCGGCGGGGCGGCGCCCGCTCGGAAGAAAGCAGCGTCGCCGGCCTCGTCTGTACGAACGACTTCGACGACGTCTAGCAGGAGGTCGACAGCAGTTCGCAGCAGCCGCCGGTCCGTGGCCGTCTCCCCGCCGGTCCTGGTCGCGACCCGCAGGCAGACTCGCAGAAGCAAGCCGGCAGCGTCGCCACCTGTGCTGTCGCCCGCTAAGCAGCAGGTCGCTCGCGCTACCCGCGGCGCACGCTCGCCCTCGTTTGCGAGGGACATACGAGTGCGCACTCTGGAAGGTGCCAGCGGCGAGATGACGGACTTCAGCATGCCAGAGGACATGACCGGGCACAAGAGTCAGTTTCTGGAGGAACTCATGATGGACGCCACCGTCATGCTGGAGACGCCGGGTCTGCTCAAGAGATTCTCCAAGAAGCTGAAGGAACCTACACCGAAGCCCAAGTCTCCCGCAAAGCCTGCACCGAGGCCCAAGTCTCCCGCAAAGCCTGCACAGAAGTCCAAGTCTCCCGCAAAGTCGCCGCCTCGGTCAGCACAAAGCACAGTTACACAGCGTGGCAGACAGTCCGGCGTCGCGAAGCGTACTCGTTCCGAGTCACGCTCCCCGTCCGCCACGCCGCCAAAGAAGCCTCGAGCCGCGGTCGCAGACCGAGGCTCGGCGAAGGTCTCGGCCCCGGCGACTGTCGGCCGTTCACCGCCTCGATCGGTGACCAGAGGCCGGCCTAGTATGAGCTCTGTCCGTAAGAGTCTGAGCGCGTCGCTGGCTGATGTGCCCATGGCGGCCTCTTCTCCAGCGTCACCGGTGCTGCGTGTACACACACCAGCGGCCGCCCGAGCGTCGGCGAAGCGGTCGCAGACCGTGACAGAGGTGTCACAGACTGTCACAGAGGCGTTACAGACCGTCACACAGTCGGCTGCCGTGACGGCTGGACAGACGCCAAAGCCATCGGTGGACTCTCCCGATCGTCCGACACGCTCTAAGGCGCTGCTGGAGGCGCGGAGCTCGATCCGTCGCCGGCCGGCCGGCCAGCCGCCGCCGGAGGACCAGGTGACGGCCTCGCCCAACCTGAAGCCGGCCCGGGATGCGGCCGCCGCCGCGCTGAGTCGTGCGTACGTGGCTCTGGCGCGCAGTGAGGCCAAACAGAAGGACCTGTTCCGTAGCCGGGTGTCGGGCGTGGCGGCCGTGGCCTCGCCGGCCCTCGCTCAGCTGTCGGCAGAGCACACGAGTAAGAAAATCGATACGGACGAGACATCGGCCGTGAACGCGGGGACCAAGACAACGGCTGAGCGGCAACTCGCTGATTCGGTCGTCTCTGAGCAGCCGCCAGCGAAGCCGGTGCCTGACGCGCCGACCGCCGACCCTGCGCCGAGCCGCTCGGACGCTTCAGAGCCGGTGTTCGCCTCTCCCGCGGGCCGCGGCACCCCGCGCGGCCAACTGGCGCCGCGCTCGTCGGTTCGTCGCGCGCCCGCGTCGGCACTGCGGCGCGTGCTGGACCGCGCGCCTGACTCTGCGGCACGCTCGGATGTTCGGCGCGTGCTGCGCCGGCCGTCACCGCCGCCCCTGGACCGGGCGGCCGGCGGAGACTCGCCGCTGGTCGAGGCACCGCTCACCAGATCCAGGCGTGAGTAGCGCGGAGGAGAGGTGCTGGAAATCCGCTGTTTGTTTTCTTTCATTAATTGCAAATATTACCAGCAGGCTTACGCCCAGGTGGTCAGGTTGTACTCTGACTGATGTTCACCGTGTCTGAGAGACTGGGGTCGTAATACCTTTGAGTTTGTCTTGCGAACATGACTTAGACTAAATGGTTTGGGTCGTTTGACCGCTCGAAGGCATCGTTCGTAAGCGGCCTTTCCGTTCGTTTCTTCTGCTCGACTGACGCGACGCCTATCGTTACAGGTGCGAAGCTGACTGCCGAGCTGTCTCCGCCTGTTGACGGTATCGCCGCGGCGAACAATGTGGAGGTGGACGGAGCGAAGCCCCCACCGCCCGCTGCAGTGACGGCGCTCTCTGATGAGAAGGATGGTTACGACGAGCCCCGCCGACGCAGCCGACTGCGCACCACCTGCCTGTGAGTGATACCGGCACGGCTGGCAGGCCGGTCATTCATGGGCGCCGATGACCACTGTAGTCCGGGCTCCCAAAAACCCAATTCATTATCATCATCATCGACAGGCCGGTCGTTGAGTGCGAGGTAGAGGAGGAAGTTTTTTAATGTCAGCGTTTGATCACTGTGATTCCTAGTCCTGACACACGGGCTACACCGGCGCGGTTGTCAGAAGATATCACCGGCTCAGAGAAACTGATCAAAGATGTATGGGTTTACCCTTAGCTGTGGGGAGGGGGGGGGGGAGGATCCTGCATATCAGCGAAAATCTGGATATTTGAACAGCAGATATACCGTCTTGTAGCACGATGCGGCATACCAAGCATGGCAACTTCCACTGTTGAATCATGGGTTCGATGTTTATTAGAACGTGATTCTAAGTCTTCAAGATGTAGGTATTCGCAACATTTACTGTAAAATGGAGGTGCATAATTTGAAACATTTCAGGTACCCATGATCCTCTTTAAGCTTGAGAAAACACTGTTTGAAACACTATTGTTGTGTCTAGGGTTCCTACTTCCTTTAGCAAGAGGTATTGCCAAATAAGTCACGTTTTTTTTGCGAAAATCTTTGAGCTTTCTCCTTGAGCTATTTGAGTTCGTCACTTTTGTCGGATTTGGTTTGCCCCCGATTTGGTTCGCAAGCTATTTTCTAATTTTTAGTGCTAGGTATCAAATTATCGAGAGTGAAATTTATTTATAAAATTAATCAGTGAGCGAATCCAGGGAATGGCCAGAGAAGTTTCGTCCTCAAGAAGCAGCCACCACATTATTCACTGTGAGTCCGATGTCCTAGGTGTTTAGGTTACAGTTCACACGCTCGTCATGACCCCTATTCGTAAGCTGTATCCTCGGTGCGCTGAAACTGCTGTCTGAGCCAAGCTGCGTTCCCGTCCCCGCGGTCTCTGACCGTACCGTCTCTGTTCTGCGGCAGGATGCTGCTGCTGCTAGTGGTGGTGGTGGTGGCCGTGCTGTGGCTGGGCCGCGCCCAGCTGCCGGCCGAGCAGCGTAACCAGCTGGAGCAGCTGCAGCGGACCGTGCAGGCCCAGAGCCAGCAGCTGGAGCAGCTGGTGCGCCGCCAGCTGGAGGCGGCGCGCGGCTGGCTGGACCGGGTGCCGGCGCTGGCGGCCGGCGGCCAGTGACCGGCCGACTACCCTCCAGTCGAGCACACTGTGACCCAGCGGCCAGCTGTAAGTACCTTGCGGTTGAGTACCCAGCCGTGGCCGAGTATCCAGCGGCCAGTGAGTACTGCTGAGTGCTGACCCGACCCCTGTCAGGCGGGACCGGCGCCGCCGTGAGTGTCCGGCCGACGGACCCGCCCCCTGCCGGAGCCAGCGCCGCCTGCCGGCCGGGGGAGCGCGAGGGTAGGCCGTCCCCGACCCGGCTGCACCGAGTCGCCACCGGTCGTGTAGTTTGGTCAGTTTAGCTGCTGTACGGTGGACTGTCTGAGTGAGATTTGTGTCCGTCACACTCCTGATTTTTTTACGTTAGAGATCGGCACTGATGACATGTGACATTGATAAGGTTGATGGTGTGTGGGCAGAGGTAACTCTCGTCCCGCCGGGGATCACTGGGCATTACAGTAGAGGCCGGATGGATTCGTGTGCGTTTTAACCCGCGCACCGACGGGGGTCTGCGCCAACTTCGCACCGACGGGGGGGGGCGGATGACCGCCCCCCCCCCCCCTGAGATCTCGAGAACGAAGCAAGATAGCGACAAGCGGTAAACGGCATCGGATACGCACGGTCAAGATCTACAATTTTTACTAAGGTCATTTACAGGTCAGGTCAAAGATGACGTCACAGGGGTCGAAAAAGTCAAAATGGCGGCGCTAGATATGGAGAGAGTTTTTCTCGAATAACTTTCGAATTAGTCAAGATAGGAACAAACTAAGGGCATCATCGTGATCCTCTCGTCAATCCGCATCGAATGATATATATGTTGACCTCGAAAGGTCAAGGTCAAAGGTTGACCTCAGGTCACGTGACCTCGAGGTCATCATGTATATCATTCGATGCGTCTTGACGAGCTGAACACAATGAGACCATCCACGCGGCTGTATCTTGTTTCTGTACGGAGTTATTGGCCAAAAACCTTTGGTGACCTTTGATGACGTCACATGACCTCACAGCTGCCCAACAGCAAAACAGACCTCAAGGTAGTGAAGGTTGGTCATATATGAAGTCATGTATGGTATATGGGGCCATTCCGACCCGTTTTAGTGGTAAAAACAGGGAGTTGATTTTTTCCCCATTGACTTATAATGGGGAGGTCGCGAAATTGACCTGACCTTAGGTCACCGATATCAAAATTCCGAGATATACAAATTGTAGCTACTAATGACCTAATAACATCCTGAGACTTTCAAAGGCCTCCGACATCTACTGTAGCTCTGGCACGGTGACAAAGTTGCAAAAAAGTGACTTGAGGTTGGGTCATTCAAAGTGACCTGGTGACCTGACCTTGAAAGGTAGGAGGTTCAAACTTGCACACCATGTGTAAAATTGATGAGGTTATAGTCATACCAAATTTCGCGGCGCTACGCGCCGCGGTTTTTCCGCTATTGGCGAAAAACCTCAGGGGGGGGCGGATATCCGCCCCCCCCCGTCGGTGCGCGGGTTAAACTGGCATAGTATTTCGACACGTGAGAGTGTGAGATGGTTCAGTAGGCATTTGATGTACAAAGCTTTCGGCAGTACAAAGACGTGCCTGTTCGGTCGACAACGTTTATCGTCATCACACATTATATTTGACAAATCACGTAGCGTAGGATCATTTAGCATAAGCATTGGGCGTTTTAGATTCTTACTTGAAAGTCGCAAGTAGTGCTGTCATGGAGTGGTGTTTACCGAAGGAGATTTCACTTTCATATGCCGTACCTGTCACAGAGTATGCATAAATGAGATTAATGTTAGTACCTTAGCTGTAACTGCATGACTCCGAAGGCGCTTAGTGCGATAAATATGCATCGATGTGCTAGACAGAGCGCTGTTTCATCGTAAGATTTCACATTTGTGTGATGGCTAAACTGTAAATCCACTCGCTAGGATGAACGTACAAAGCGAATGATTTGCGAAATGCTCATTTTGCACACCATCGAGATTGTAGTTAGGTGTTCCTGGAAATATTGTATTTTCGGTAACCGTTGGAACGACCCGCACCAAATTTGATGTCAATATACTTGTGTTGGCATATCTGGCTTTCGTGGATTTGCATGTGGGAATTAGCAATGACGCTGAAATGTAAAGGGTGACTGTTCAAGGAGATTAATCAAAGAAAAGAAACATTTTGCGAAACAACTGTAACAGAACATTTTGCATAACTGGAAGCTGCTTTCCATTTCGAGATCTCTTGTATGAAATTTCGGAAGATTCATAGTTGATGTTCTGTCAAATTAATTACTCTTTTTGGACCTTATGCTCAGGCATGCTAGCAAAAAGGCCTCTGACTCAACATCCCTAACCCGATGTTTACCAGGAGTGAAAACAGCAGAGTCGAGGCAGCGACACCGCGCACTGCCTGGGCGGCGTGTTTTTAACCAGTCAAAGCAGTGAATTACATGTGAATATTTGGGAATGATTGAATGATTGTATCGCAAATGATTTGTTGCTCTATGTTACCGGTAAACCGTGTGATCTCTCCTACATAGCACCGTGCTTCTGCTATGCCTGATCTACAACCAGCATTTGGGATGTGAAAAGTACGAGTCCTGTGGTTTTGATGTGCCTGCAGGTCATAACGAGAATCCCTTAGCTCTAGGAACTGAATCTATCATTTTACGCAGATTTGAGTTTTATTTCAATATAAAAAAGACACACGTTATGCCGCCATTGATTTCGCTTCAATGTCGTAGCACCTGTCGGCCCATCCAGCCTCCCTATCCTCTGCTTTCTCTAACCCATCCAGACGGTCGGTTAGAAGCAGGGTGCCACGGGTGATATCATGTCCGAACAGTACTTATCCTCCACAGTGAAGGCGTACACGCGTCCAGTGGTGCCCAGGTCGCCGGCAGTCGTCTTGTACTTCCAGGTGACGGGGCCCGTGGTGGCTCGGAACCTGGCAAACGCGTACAGAGCGTTGCTAACGCCACGCTCCGGGTGTACGCCGCCGGTCATGAACGTGCGGCCGGCCTTTCGCACAAACTCACTGCCACAGTAGAACTGACTGGCCTGGAACACAGGGTCAAACACCTCCACCTGGAAGTAGCGGCAGCCGCTCGAGAACAGAAACAGCATCCGCTCGCGGTCGGGCACCGGCTCGAACAGGATGTACATGCCGACCCTCGTGCATTTCTCCCTGCCTGTGTACTCGACCCGCCACACGCAATTGTTGGGCGCGCTGCGGTCCATGTTCTCAAAGTCGAGCACCATCTTCTGGTAGCGCCTGTCGTCGGTCTTGATGTCCACGTCGCACGGCCACGGCTCGATCGGTTCCAGCTTTTTGCACGATTTGTCTGTTTTCGGGCAGCCGAGTACTTGGTTAGCGAAGCCCAGGTCGGCATCCGGGATGAAAGCATCCTGCATGCCGATGCTGCTCGAAGCCATCACGCCGCTCTTGGAGTCGAGTGCGGCGAGGAAGACGGCCTCGCCACTGCGCGAGAGCCCGTACGTGTCGTACATCATGATGGACTGGTAGTTGAACGGGCAGTCGCCGTAGTCCTTACTGTTGAGGTACTGGAAGTCCTCGACCAGGCCGTTGTGCGCGCGTACCAGCAGGTGTTCGTCCCGGTCGGAGCGCGAGTGGGTGTGCGGCAGGCCGAGCACGTGGCCCAGCAGGTGCACCAGCACCGGCTCGCTCTCACAGTCGGGCGACAGCACCAGCTCCTGGCTGCCGTCCACGTAGCCCAGCTGGGTGTAGCAGCCCTCGCCGTACTTGATCTCCAGCTGGCCGCCCGTCGTCACCGGCTCGAACTTGATGCACGTGCCGCCCGACCAGCGGGACATGGCGTGCTCGACCACATCGGGACTGGGCCCCGGGTCCTTGATGTGGTACTTGATCGTGTTGCCCGGCCACTTTTTGGGAATCAGCGGTGCGCTGGATGACTTGTCTGGCTTCATTGAATAGCGCTTCTTCTGATCCGGGGATAGAAGCAGGTCACCTTCATGCAGCTTGGCTCCAATGGGCTTCCACATGTTCAGCATGATATGATCTGTTGAAATGCCAGCGTATGATTGAATGACTGCCACCATAACGATAATACGTTTTTAACGCATTATCTAATAAATGTATCTTATCAAGGGTTCATACATTGTTATCATGTCTACCTTTGCAATTAATACTTTCTGATAATATTTACGGCATGTTAATCGCAATTCAAACATTACCCAAATCGGCACGATTCAATGTTTTTTTTTCAACATGAATGTACCCTCGAGTAGGTACTTCACTCTGAATGCAATCAGAACATTACTTTAGAAACGATACTGAGCAACCTTACGTCGTAAATGTCATTTATCTGAAAATTAATTTGTGAGAAAAAAGATATCAATGTGAAAAAGGTTGAGAGCACCTGCCTACCTACCTGTAATATGATACCTAATTTCATTCAATTTGAGCAAGCAACAACCTTGTGAAGGCGACGTTTACTAACCGGTTGGAGACATCGGTGCATGATATTCGGTCATCAAGTCTTTCTGTTTTTCTATGCTGATGATATCCAAACCAAAAGCATAGCGCGCAAATAAAAGACTCAAAAGCATTATTGGCGAGTGTGCCATTGTCTTGTGCTTATTGAAGGATTTAGCTAGTTGAGCATTTCACGTTTTGTATTTGGTCTTTTTCACTTGATATTTTATAAAATATAGATGATTGCGCAAATATAGCAAAGCAAACTTATTGTTCAATTTGTGATTTCATAGCAAGAGAGAAAATTACCGGAGGCACCGTTTCGTTTTCGTTCCGTTGAATTTTTATCAGGTTATTAGCCACGTGATGGTCATCAACGGGGATCTTTCCTTGAACACGAGACATGCTAAGCAAGGTGCTAAAAGCACTCACTAAGGTAAACACATTTTGATGTGAATGATAATGACCCCCAAAGCGTGTTATTGCGTCACTTATGTTCTGAAGGAAGGAACAACTTTCAGTTTTCTACCAATCGCTTCTAATGACTGTTGCAGATCTTGAAGCATGTCGGAGGAAAGTGTTCTTATGAAGTAAAAAAAGTGTTCACTTTACAGCATCACATAAAAATTTTAAGTACCCTTTCATGAAAATTATACACTACATTATAGCAGTCTCACATGTCTCGACAAACATAAAATCCCTTTCCATCACGTGCCTCGTCTCTGGAGGATAATGCACTGTAGCGCATCTGTTTACATCCCATTCGTTAGTCCAGATAAGGTCGCCGCGGGTCGCATCGCAAGCAGCATGTCCCCAATGTCGTGAAGACAACCCTCCGCTGTGTCGGAGCGACTGTCCCCGAAGGTCGGCCATGCCGGTGACAGGCCGAGGGGTGTCCCGGTCATTACTTCAGCGAGGCGTTCGTCGATTTGGAGCGCGCTGTTTGCCTCCCACTTGACCTCTATTTCCGACCGGGGCGGCCGCCGCGCGCTAGAATCGTATGGCGTGCTCGGCCGGCCGCCCGAGGGGCGTCTCCGTGTGTCTTAGTTTTTCCGTGTCTCCGCGCGGCGGCTCGCAGCGGAAACCTGTCACATGTGGCCTCCCCCTCCGCGTCCGTAACTCGCGCGGATCGTACGGTAAAGTCACATCGGCCTTGGTGTCGGGCGCGCATCTCCCGCCCCCGCCGGGGATCGCTGCAGGGCGGCCGGTGCCGCTGCTCCGCTCGTTTTCGGATCAGGAGAGCGGAGTAGCTCCTTTCCTTTAGATCCGTCACCCTCTCCTCCACGAGCCGCAGCTCACCAACCCAATCCGACGGGAATCTGGCCGGGGCGTAAACACACTTTCACGGGCTGCGTAACGCACCGCTCTGGCTCTGTAAGGGACGAACCCTCGTCGCTGGCCAGCGGTGACCCGTTTACGTCGCTAACGAGCTCCCGCCTCTCACCGGACTCGGGCGCCGCGTCCTCCGCTCCTAATCCATTCTAACGTCGTGTACGCTATACGGGTCTAAAACATAGGGATGCAGTAAACTCAGTTACCTTAGAACACCATGGGATACATTGAAAGGTCTCGTAACGTCCAGGCCCAGCGATGAACGTGGACACCTTTGCTCGTTTAGGTCTCAGGAAAGCTGGATCCTGTCTCCGTGCTACAGGCGTTTCGATTTCCCGTCTGGTGCTCGGTCCTAGCAACAGCATCCGAGTCGGTATACCGACAGAAGTGCGCTCTTCATTAGCCTGAGCCCGAGCTCGAAAACACGTTGTGTCATCGGGCATAAGTCGGCTCGTCGCTAGTGGCGCGAGGGCCGGTGGGTTTTTTTTTTGTGCGGGAAGATCTAGGCGCCGGCAGTTACTGGTCCGGCGGTTGGATTAACGGCATTGGTCAGTATGGGGCCAGCACGGCGACAGAATACAGTATAAGACAGCATGCCTGAGGCGATACATTGGGAGCCAGGTCGAGTTGCAGATCATTGAGCTGATAGCGGTAATATGGTGGCAATAATGTCCAGTTCGCAAGTATTTGGGGACGCTCAGGGCCTGATCAGGCTAGGGCTATGTCTTGATCGTTACAATTTATACGGAACTTTTACTTCGAACACTACCACATGGAGAAAGCGTTCTTGCTTCTGGGAAGGTCCTGACCGGATCATCAATTTGTTTACCCTCACTTATGTGGATATAAAACACACACGTCCATGGGGTCACTCTGGCCCGATGGCGATGGGGCTCCATGCTGCTGGGCTAAAGTTATCCCCCCCCTCCCCGGCCGCTCCCCAGCACGGTGTCATTAACGCACGGCCGCGAGGTAATGTTGATTTACAGGCCCATTATTGGTTGTCGGCCCTCTCACTACTGAGCCCTGTGGTAGTAAAGTAATATTTGGTGTCTGATCGTAACCAGGAAGGCCACCGATCAGAGAAAGGAGAAGTAATCCTTTTGATTGCGATACATATTCGAGGCTTTCATGTTTTTGTGAATATGAAATAGCTACATGGTTGTGTGAATAAGTTAGCGATATACAAAATCGTTCGATTTTTTAAGAATCGGACTATCATAAGCATATAAGCTCAAAAGAATGACATTTTTTGTGGGAGTTTAAACAGTGGCATAAAAACTGGAGGCTCCTTCTGAAAAGTTATGCATTGGATAACCGTTTGATTTAGGCTCTAGCTTGTATGCTACGTCAACATTGAGCGTTTGGCAGATAATGTTTGTCAATTCGACCAAAGACGGGTTTTGATTGTCAAGTCGCATGTTATTTTACCGGACAAAAAAAAAAAAAACGACAAAGTTTAGGTTTCCGCAGTGAGTTTTGAATTTGTCACAAATCCTTATTTTGATCGTAAGGATTTGTGACAGATGAACGTTACCCGTCGCAGCTACGCTACCGTCAGAGCTAAGCTAGAGAAGATATTGGGGATAGGATGTACGGCAGTTACTCGAGTGTGAGTGCATTTCGGCGGAGAATCAACCGCTTATTGCGCACCATGAATGAAAGTCATCTTCAGGTGACTAAGGCCAACCGTCTCAGTGACATCTTGTAACGTGATGATTTCGAAGTTCTTGCTTACCTTTCCTGTTTATTAATGGCCCATAGATCAGACTTTTACGCGCCTCGCCTGACGTTTCGAGTGATTGATGTTAATGTGGTGTGAAAACGAGCTGAATCACATCATTATTCTTTACTGGAGCTGAAAATCGCCTCCGTCTATAAAAGGTTTCATAAAACAACGATAAAATGGATCAGTATGTAACTCGGAGCAATAAACACTCCATTTTATCACATACTGATCCGTATCGCAATTAAGATCAGTGAATGTGACCGCCCTCTTTGTGTTCCTAAGGTACAGGTCCATAGCCATGGCCGGTGGCTCGTATAAAAAGTGGAGTTGATTTGTACAAATGGCGCTATCAAGGAATGGAGATCCGTGACCGTGATACGGGGCCATCTCCCCCCTCCAGCAAACAGAGAGCCCCAGCGCTGACACCGGCCCCAGATAGTGCTGCCCGAGCCGCGATCTCCTATCTGAGGATGGTCGTTAATTGCTCGGCGCCCGCGCCGGCCTCTGCCCCTGAGTGCACGATGTCCTTGCTGCTCGCCGCGGTCGATCTGGGTCAGCGCGCTGCCCCGCGGCTGAGCGCGGTACCTGAGCCGACAGTGTCCCCGCCGCCGCCCCACGGCGCATCCCTCTCTGTCGCGCCCAACAACCTTGTCCCTGATGCTGGTTGCGCCGCCGCTCCAACAACAAACTGGCGCAACGGGGGGCGCGCGCCGGCCGCCCCAGAATCGACCCCCTTCCGTCCGACCGATAGATAGCCGCTCCACTGGCGGCGCCCCCTCGGCAGACGTCGATATTTATGCCGCCTGTTCCCAACGCACTTTGTGTGTTGCCGCTGCGGGATCTGTTTGCTTTGTTCGCGGTGGAATTGAAATGTCAGTTTGTTTGCTGGATCTTCCGACGTTTCATGGGCAAGAGACACATTATCTGGAGTGTTTGTGGTTCGAGGTTGGATCGTTCAAGGGAGTTTTGATTTACACTACGATGTTGGTTGCGTCCTCGCGGCAAATGCACAGAGGTTCAATGCCTTAGTTGTATGCATTGCATAAGCTGTGCATTGTGTAATAAACGTAGTTGCTGTTTACTTCCGGTATTACTGGGATTGCCAAAAAATGTCGAAGCCTAGATATTAGTCTACTAACCGTAACATGCTCGATCGAGGTTTGCCATTTGGGTAAATCAGTTTGTTGTTTTGTTGAGACTGTTAGTTTTTTGTTAAAGATCCACAGCTTTCGGATGTGCTTCGAGGTTGAAAAATAGGCAGTAGTTTAGAAATACATTTCGAGTTGAAGTGTGTCCGATCACGATGGAAAACATTTTCAGTATGATTGAACAATTATTCACACCAACAATTAGCTGCTATGCTGATATTTGAGTAATGCACCATACATAATGATGAATGCCTACTGTATTATTAGTAATCATAATTTGCAATTTACCTGCTCTGTGCAACAACTATACCCATCACACCAATACCCATCACACCCACCGCAGCGACCCCTCAAATCATGGTGATTATGTATGAGCTCCAGTGAGCTAAATAAGGCCGGAGTAACGCACACGCAACCATCAACACATCTCGTACCCACCCACCCGTTCTCACGCACGAGTGGCCAAGGCTGTCGTCAGTCGACCGATGATCGTACTTCATCGAGCAAGGCCTAGTTTCGAGCAACACCGAGGCGCTCGCTTAGTCTTCAGTTACCGCTTGATTTTGCACCACCGATTGGCGAAGGACGATAGTTTTGCCGCTAGGTGGCACCAGTAATCTGCGCCTGCGGGTAGGCTGTACCGCACGACTTCTGTCCGGGAGTTTATGGTCGCTGAATGCAGCGCGAAAGGAATATGAAGAAGAGAGTGTTCGCATGTGAAATAGGAATATTCATGAAAAAATGTGTGCTCAAAAGGGAGCTACTTATTCTGCATCGTCATTATCAATCTAAGACGTTTATGAATATGGCATATGCCAAGAGCATAGCATACGTTTAGGTACGGTCGTCTATCGTCGCTCGTTCATCTCATCCACTTTTACCGTCGGTCGGCGTCCGTCAGCGTCGGCCGATGGGCTGGCTGATAGGAGCCGACACCGCGCGGCCGTCTGCCGCCGGCGGCGCTCTTCTGACAGCTGCTCCCGTTCCGCTGTGTACGGCACGCTCCGCCGGCCTTCGGCGTCCGTCCCCATAAACGGCGCGGGGGGTCCACTCCGAGACGGCGCCGGGTCGCAGTGACCCGGATCGTGGCCGACCGGGCCGCGGGCGGCGCCCCGAGGATCAGGGACGAGCCCCAGAGACCGTGGTAGTGGGTTCCCAGCCGACGCCGACGCTCCGGGCCGGCAGGCAACGATGCATGGCCCGCTGCGACAGTTACCATACGCCGTCGTAGTTATGGGCCTGTACTGAGCTGTACTGATGGGCTCGAACGTAGTCGGTGGAAGATGGGTTGGCGCTAGAGGTCGGCGGTAAATCAAACGCAATTAGGCGAGCAGTTAATAAACTGTGCGACAGGCACCCGCAGCTGATGGTGAAGCTGTTATTGACGAACAAGTGGCTATATTGAAGCCTAACTTTTTTCGATCTTTGCTGATGTTGGATTTTTATGCGTGAAGTGCTTCCTTCAGTGTAACGTCTTGAGTGTCGAGTGACACCATGCCAAATGTGAAATGACTAATGAGTGGCCGAGCTAGAGCTGCGCTGTGATGAGCAGACGGTGCCCAAATGCTGGAGCTGTGGCAACTGTTGAGAGAATTAGGTACATGCTGTTGAGCATTGCTCTTTTTGTTGTATGTAACTAACAAAGTTAGTTACAAATAAAATTTGAAATTTTATGTGAGTGATAAGACGGTCGAATCTTCTGAAAATTCAAACTGACTTCAGATGAAAAGTATAAAAAGTCAGTGGTTTTCATGGCTCATCTAAGCGCTCACCTGTTGTGCCCATACGTGCAGCTTGTGCGAGAGGATTTCTGATCCAACATTTCAAGATTCAGAGCAACGAGACGCTGTCGAAGCTCAACGTTTCCCTCTCAGTCGCCAGACAAGTCCATACGTCACCGCACTTCACATCAAACCCGACACCAGCCTGAATGGTGCGGCCGCTCTTCAGCGACAACAAACGTGCCGTTAGTAACATGGAGTGAGAGACTCACAAAAGAGAGTGCAAGGTCAAGTGTCTTCTATTGTGTTCCGTTTGACCTGACCAGTCTAGGAGATGGATTGAAGACGACAGTTCAACAGTCCTCTGGTTACAACTGTCTCGAACTTGATTTTGCTAATTGAAAAGGACTGAAGAAAATTCAATAAATGTTTATTACGTTTGGGCAGTCGTGATACGTCAGATGCGTATACCAATGATTGCTATGAAGGTAAAATAAGATTTAAACTTAAAACTTTCTGTTCAAATTAGTGCTGTTTCGATACCGTAACACCATGCCGTGAAAATCAGTTCATGTGGTGAGAAGAGGCCTGTCGCGCTACGTCACCCTTCCTCCATATCGTCAGCCTTTCAACTGTTGACTTATATGTAAACTTGCTTGTATCGCGGAGGTTCTATAGCTGGGACTGGAATTGAGGTTTGTTTTATTGTCCAAGCTGGTAGTTGGTATTTATGCCGGAAAATAAACAAAATATTCACGAAATGAAGCGTTTATTTGGCAAAATCTATCAATGGTTATGATCAAATGCCTTATACCATTGCTAAAAGGCATCCTTTATTGAAATCCTCCAAGTTGTACACAACTAGTGTGTACCAAATACAGTACCTACGATAGAGTAAAGTGTATAAATGACAAGAGCATCCAGCTACCAAGCCTTCAGCCGCAGGAAGCGGCTAGAGCTTCAGTTGATCCTTTGCTTTGATGGTTAAACAATAAACATGACTACGATTTTCCCGCAGTGCAGGAGAGTCAAAAATATTCAACGGAATATTCGATGTTACTTGATTCTGAACACCATGGATTCATCGATAAGACAGGATAGTTAAGAATCCTCGTTAAACTTATCCTTCGCTTTCATATAAAAATCCATTCAGTGAAATCATAGTTATATATCAAATAACAAAAACGTGCAACTGCCTTCTGTCTCAATGACCATGTGCTTTCTTCGTCTTACTTTTGTGATCATGCTTTTTCTTGTACGACCATGGAAACCTGAAATGTTTATAGTAGTGGTAAAGCTTGTCCAAAAAGTAGTGAATGTGACCGGGAATGATTTTTACAATAGCGGTGGTCGTGGAAATTTTGTACTTGGGTTTCTTGGTCACCTTGATATAGTAATGAGGATGTGGTGCCGATTTCTTAGTCGTCGAGGCATCTGTATATTCGTGCTGAGTGTAGTCAGCTGTTGATGGAGTTGTAATATAGGGATGGTAGTCGGTTGTTGAAGGAGTTGTTATGTAGGGGTGGTAATCGGTTGTTGTGGACGGAGTTGTAACGTAGTGGTGGTGATCGGTTGTTGTGGATGGAGTTGTAACATAGTGGTGGTGATCGGTTGTTGTGGATGGAGTTGTAACATAGTGGTGGTAATCGGTTGTTGTGGATGGAGTTGTTACGTAGTGGTGATGATCGTTTGTTGTGGACTGAGTCGGTTGATAGTGGCGGTAATCGGTTGTCGTGGATGGAGTCGTTATAGAGGGGTGGTAGTTCCTTGTTGTGGTTGGGGTTGTATGGTAGTGGTAGTAATCGCTTGTTGTGGATGGAGTTGTTACGTAGGGTTGGTAGTCGGTAGTTGTGAATGGAGTAGTAATGTAATGATGGAAGTCGTTTGTTGTGGATGGGGTTGTTATATAGGGATGGTAGTCTGTTGTGGATGGAGTCGTTATGTAATATTGGTGGTGACCTGTTGGAATTAAAGCATAGTGACTGGGCGGAATGGTAGTGTGAACGAAATAGAGTTTGGCTGTTGTGGACGGGGTGGCTGTGAAAATATTGTCGTAACTTAGAGACGGGGCAGATGTGTGACGATTGTAATTGGTCGTGGAAGGTGGAGGTGAAGTCTCAGCTTGATATATGTTGGCTGTTGGAAGCGAGCTAATGTCATAAGGAGAGAAAGGACTCTCTGGGATCGATATAATATGGTGAACATCATCGTCTTCGTTTGATGACGCATCATTTGAAGAAGGCGGCGGTGGTAGCAGGTGGCCGATGGGAAATGGTTCCAGCTCGACAATACCCTCCTCTTGGTGGGGCGGGTTCTCCAGCTCCAGAGTGACCTCTGACCCGACCTCTGACCCGTCTCCTGACCCCTCCTCCTGGTGCGGTAGTCTCTGCAGCTCCACGGTGACCGGCGAGAGGTCACCGCGATTGCCCTCCCAGGTCGGATTCACGGGTCGCCCCGCCGGCAGGCCGCGGTCGTCCGGGTACTCCAGGCCGCTCTGGTCAAAGTAGGTGCCCTGGCGGTGCCAGAAGTTCCTAGCTCGCAGTGGAGCCGGCGGCAGCGGCGGCAGAGGCGTCGTCACAAACCGAGAGCGAACAGACAGCGGCAGGCTCGTGTAGCGAATGATGCGGGTCAGAATCTGAGGCATGGCGCCGACTCCACAGCTCGCCAGCAGAGCCAGCCAGATGGTCAGAAGTTTCATGGTTGAGAGACAGTGGTGCGGCACAACCTGATAGCACGGGGCAGGCGTACGGATGTGTTGCTGACTTGGAGAGATACTTCAAACGCACTGCGACACTGGCTGTACTGATAACCTTGGTTGTCGTCTTGCTTTCTTCCGTCTCTCCACCTACTTCGTTCTCCCTTCTCTTCCGATCTCTACATTTCAGTCTCAGTCTTCTAGTTTTCCCATCGTTTGTTTCTTTCTTATCTTCTGTATAATTACCGCTTCTGTTATTTGTCGCTGAAGAAGGACGGAACTTGTCACTCGATTCTCGCTACACTGTTCACCCGTAGACACACTGTTACAGTGCTAGCTATATACGGCCTTGCTTTCAATTCCCAGGAAAGTTTGGCTCTCCGAGCAGCAGAGGCCCCTGCAGCTGAGAAGGTGGCTCGATGGAGACTGACAGACCCACTGAAGGACTGTCCCTTTAGCCACGGCATTCCCCTATAGCAGACAGCGGGAGCGGTGAAGGGCGAAATTTGCCGTTACGCTCATTGGATGGATAATCACGGCAAAACACTGGCTGTCGTGAGACACCGTCATGGATGAGCCATATCCAAACTGTCACTAAAGTCGAGCCATACTCAGAGTGGACGCGCAAGACATTTGGCTTTTTCTGACTGAGTTGTCGCCGAGGATGCAGGTGTTGAATTATGCAATATGCAATGTGCATTATTTGACTGTCTTACTATTCTATCATTCTCAACCAATAAAAAGTGAGCACACATCAAATACGTTACAATGCGACTCGTTTGGACCCTGTGGCTGTCGGGTCAGTCGCTTTAACCTCTGCTTGAACTATAGTCACACCAGCACCCGCTGCCCGCCCTTGACCGTGATAACTGATATGGTCTTATTTAGCGTCATCAAGGACCGGCACTCCTGTGTGAAACCGTATACCTCTCTATCCAAATACAGCTCTCTATATGATGAAACTGATCGCCACATAGCCTTTCGACGAGAATCAAACCTATCGATCACTAGTTAATAGTGTTGTCACTCGCCTCGAGCTCTAGTCTCTACCCCTGCGCCATTCAACAGCGGCATCTAAACGACCCATTTAACCCGATCGCACTGCTCCAATGCCCAGGGGCCGATGGAGCCTTATAAGCCTCTGCATCCGGGTATTTGAGAATTGGTGTCTGGTGGGAACCCGCCGGCCCCCGGTAATGCCTATGACAGGTGATCCATACGGGGCCCAGGAGAGGGTCGCGGCGGCTGTCAGTTGGCCGCAGGCACCACCACGGCACCACGCAGCGCTATGGTATCGGGGCGTGAGCCGCCTTCGCGGGGTTTGGTGCTGGTGGTAAGGGTGGTGCTGGTGTTGACCACCCTCGCCGTGGTCCACGGCACCAGAAGGAACAAAAAGGTAGGGTATATATCAGAGACGGCGAGCATTATCTGCCGGATTGCAATGGTCTATTTGTAAGAGTAGCACCTCTTGTAACTGCTTTTCAGAATTACTCCACTCGTTCGAAACTGCAATACGCATTACACATTGTAGTTGGGTATCAAAAAGAAAAAAGAAAAAATGCATGATATTGATATGCTTTTCTAAGGTGTGCTTCGGGACAGTTATTCTGGGAATATTGCAAGTGGTGTAAATATTGCTCTATTTTTAAAGCATGTGTCGCATTTTATTCCATCGCAACGCATTCAAGACTACACAACAAATATTTCGATTTCTGTATTACAGACCAGCATTTACGACCACGTCGGCGGCTGCTGGCCGGGCGAGGTGAGCTACCGGCTCGGCGAGGACATCATCTGCTACAGCCTGACGCCCAAACTGCCCTTCGCCCTCGCGCTGGCCGCCTGTCGCAACATCTCCGGCCGCCTGGCCACCATTCACAGCCAGGAGCACAACGACGTGCTGTACAAGATGCTGAACGAATCGGCGTTTATCGGCGCTGTGGCGCGGAAACACATGGTGAGCCATCCGCTGGGGGACTTTGGTCCTGGGATTATTTGGAGCTGGATGAATGGAGAGGCTCCCGTCTTCACCAATGTCCTGCAGACGGAAACGGAAGGCTTCTTCAAGCAGCCAGACGGTGGCGGTTTCGAGGGATGCATGGAACTGATGAAACATCCCGTGCTGGAAAATGATCCGGGAAATGGGTTCTGGGGAGACACCGACTGTCGAGCTCCCAAGCCGGCACTCTGTGCACGCATGGGTCACGTGAAGCGGCCATTGTCCAAGTACCCGGAGAAACAGTGGCAGTTTGAGCTGCGGAAGGACCGGCGTGCTGCCTGCGCCACAGGCTTCTCTCGAGTGGGAGTGACGTGGGCTGGTGAGTCACACAGCAGGTCCACATGTCTGAGCGAACGTCAGGATGCCGGCGACTTCACGGAGGCCACACGTCGCTGCCAGGAAATGAACCCAACTGCTACCGTCGCCCGTCCGTCCAGACTGGCGGGTCGGCGCCGCTGGGTGCCCTCCCTTAGCGCAGGGGAGGTGGGCCTGCAGTGGGCCGGAGCCGACAGGAGGAACGCGCTCTTCCAGTGGCAGTGGCAGGTGGACGGTAGTCGTGTGCCACCGTCAGCCTGGGCTGCCGGAGAGCCGCGCGATGGACCTGGCGAGGACTGCGCCGCATACGACCCGGCCCGGCGTGGTATGGTAGCTACAGATTGCCAGAACAAGCTGGAGTTTATCTGTGAGACTGCAGCGCACGGTTGCGCCAGCGGCTTCCACGTCTCGGCCACAGGTCTGGAGTGCGTAAGGGATGACTGGAAGGACTGCGATGGATCGGAAGAGTACGTAGACACACCAAACAAGAAGGCCTGCACCGCGAAACTCTGTCCTCTCGGCTGTCCGTCCGGCTACCATCAGCTCGGTCACAAGTGCCTACTGGTGAACGATACCGCCTCCTGGTTCAAAGAAAATTCGAACGGATGCCGGAAGCAGATGATGCGAGTCATGATACCTAAAGATCCGACGGAGAACGAGTTCTTGCGGCGGCAGACGCAGCGCACCGGTCGCCCACTGTGGATGGTGTACTCCAAGGCCACTGGGTTCTCGCGCTGGCACCAGTACGACTCCTACGGTCTGCCGGGCGAACCCAATGAGCCCACAACCCTCCCCAGGCGGCCGGTGAAAATTAGCCTCACGTGTCCGATCATCTGGTTCGACGGAGAGGCGATGGATGTGGACTGCTTTGGAGAGTTTCCTGTGGTCTGTCAGCGACTCATTAAGTGGAAGGACTGCGCAGAGGCAGTCGAGAAGCTGAAGGCCACCTTGTAGACGAAACATTAGCAGATGGCTGGTTGAATTGACAGTGTGTTTTCTTAGGCCTGTATGTAAAATACAAATATTGAGTTTGATCGTTGGCAGTTGTACGGAAGCCGGAAGGCTATTCGAGTGACCAAGTTTGGGGCTATGCTCAAGGGATGAAAAACTTTATATGCCCGGAAACAGCTGTCAAAAACTCCATAAGCATTGACCGTTTCTGATTCCATATCGGTGATCAGTGACCCGACACACCCCATGTGATATTAACCACTCACATCTCACGCGCTAACGAGCACACCACTCCCCGTGCAACTCACAGCTCCACCCTTCTGACCATCTGAGGTCTGATCAGAGTGCGGGGCGGCTCATCCGGTGACCAGCCGGAGCACGGGTTACCCAACGGGCGCGTCCCTGCCCCATCTCGCGCCTCACCGCTGTCAGCCAGCCGTTCCCATGTGGTGCGGTTGAATGGCGCACAGCGGGAGTGACCTGCACAACAGCGGAAAAACGCGGCCGGAATTGGACCGGCCGCCTCACCGCCGAGATGCGGCGTAAATAGCGCACTCGGAGACGGGGCGGCGCCGGCCGCTCAGACCGATGGGAGGTAGTGCCCCTCTCCCCCGCGGTGATGCCGACTGCGGCTGACACGGCACAGACTGTTCCACGGTGAGAAGACAGCACCAGTCCTGGACACCCGACGGGACGCAAAATGGACCACTGTTTGTGCCCCCATGGCAACCAGTGCAGGTGACAAACAGCTGCTGTGTTCATACGCGCATACGATACCATGACGGGCAAAAACGAAATGCTGTGTGATATATCATACTCAGTTACCAGCGAAGCTTGCTCTCTTCTTGTAACATTGCCACACTGGAGTCGAATATCAAAACATCTTTTCATGTTTGTGTTGAGCGACTTTCATCATACCTATGCATCGCCATGTTTTTCGTCTACAGCGGTTTTGTATGGAGTACATACATAGGTCTTCCGTGCTAGTAGACATGTAATAAAACTGAATTCGCTTCATAGTCTGCTCGAGTTTGATGAAGCTGTTTTTTTTTTTAGCAAGGGAAATGGGCTACGTTCTACCACACAAAAACGGTGAACGATATAAACTTGCAAAACGAAATATGTCCGTTTGAAGAATGAGGACAACAAATTCATGAATGTCATTACTGAACGGACTACTTGAAGGGCAGAAGAAACAATGTATCTAACTAAATGCCGCTACATAAATAACTAATGCTTGTCCATGAATTTAAATCTGATAAATACATATACTCCAGGTTTTTTAGGGACAAAAAGTAATCGTCTCGGCTCGGCAGCGTATATCTCTGTTATTAGATGTCACCTGACTGATGCTCCCTTTGGGTCGAGGCCACGCTGAGGCAGGACACTCCCGTCTGAAATATGACCATTTATCAGAGCACCGCCTCCCTACAGTGCCTGTCTACGCGCACGGGAACGGATGATTTATACCCCGGGCCAGTGAGAGATATTTCACATGTGAAATCGAGACGACGCTCATGACAAGGCACGGGAATCGCTCGTAAGTTGTCACCGGTTAGTTCTCGTACTTTATCGAAATGTCGCATGTTTTTGTTGAGATTTGTGAATGAAACACTATAACGAGCTGAACTGTGCACAAGCTTGTCTGATTTCGTTTATTAGTCGTCCTGTACCTAAACGTCTCCATTTTATCTCTACTTGTACTACTTGTGTTTATCTCTAATTTGTGCTAGTGGCGTGTTAGGTTTATCTAAACTTTCTCGTTTTTTGTGGTCAATGCGCACAAGGACATTCAATTTTTAAAGCTTGTAGATCTTCGAACTAAGACCCCGTGATGAACGAAAGCGAAAGCTATCGTTCAATTAATCTTTTCTCCATCTCTACCTCTACACAAACGGGACATAACTTAATCGCGACACACTCGCAAAGTTCATTTGCACAGTAGCGGGTTCAACGCTCCAAACCGTTATCTCTGTCAGGCTCAAAGGACGATTGCCCAGAAGGATTGTACCTGGTCCCATGGCACCAATCAACTGAGCGGCAGGCTACCTCTCCGGCGGCTGTTTGGAAAATTATTGATGAAAGCATTCGTCATGGAAAAAATACGTACGCGATCGGGTAGCTCTAAAGGAGATAACGAAATGATGCAAATGATGAAATTAAAAACAACATAATACCCTTATATCATTGCTTATCGTTTGAAGTTAATAAACTCTCAAAAGCTCATCACATTGGACGCCTGTTGGCCGAAACAGCAATCAAAACTGTGTAAATGCCGCTCATCTTCATAACACCCAGTTCCAATGGGCATTACACAATGCAGTCCTGCTGCTCATAGGTCTATCATCCATGATATAACTATGCATCATTCTATTAGCATCGCCGTTTGCCGTCCCCAAAATGGAAACATAAATGAACCGAACCTCGTTTAGTGCATGGGTGGAAGCAACGCTATTAAAGAACCCACGTGGTGATACAAACCTATGAATATTAACAGATGGCTAATTACAGATGCTGGGGGCTAGCGAAGCGTCCAGCCGGCCGCCCTGGGGCGCTAGGCCACAGCATTTACGGCCACTGCAGGCGTCGACCGACACGGTCAGAGAAATGAATCGGGCCAGAGCAGGAATACGCACAGGGCGGGATGGGATGGTCGGGGTCAGGGACGCGGCCTGCAGCTAACGAAGGGCTCGGCAGACAGATTCGGCACACCTCCGATTGGGAAACAGTGTCCACACGGCGAGTACGGCCTGGAGATCAACTGACCGTGGTCCATGTGGCAGGCAGTTGACCGCTCAGTTGACAGCCGCGAGATTGGTTGATGAATATCTGATAAGAGAGTTTAGCGTAGTGAGGAAAATCATCGTGATGATCATAATCATCGCTCATAATCATCACGATGATTTTCCTCACTACGCTAAACTCTCTTAAATATGCTCAGAATATCTGATAAATGGGTTCCATGGCTATTTGCGTCATTAACTTGCAAGCATGTTTCGAGATTGATGAGTATACTGCACGGCGATGAGCTTACAGATCGAATGACATCCATTGTATTTTTCCTCGTATTATTCAGCTGTCCTCATCAGCCTATCGTCACCCTTTCAGAGTCACATAAGGCTAAACGAGTGAGTCTTGCCAGTGCGCTGGCGGGGTCCGCTGCCCTTCTCGGTCGCTCAATGGGTGCGTGATTCATAGCCTCCCGATACCATCGGACCGACGGACGACCTCAGCGCAGCAGGGAAATGGAGCCGCGGCGGGGGGCCGTCGGCCGGCATCTGTGTCGGTTAGAGCCGATCGTCCGACGTCGCTCCGCCCCGACCCGACGGCGGCACGTGCAAAAACGACGCCCACGCCACACGCAACGTCGTCATCAGTGCGGCACCTCCCGCCGCGCGCAGAGGCGGAACTCTTCATGGGCGTGGGGAAAGTGTGTGTGTGGGGGGGGGACTCTGGGCTGTGCAAGGCTGGCTCAACAAGTCAAGCGCGAACGTATCAATTCATATGAGTTTAAACGGACACGAACTGCCCCCCCCCCCCCCCAACCACCTATTCCGCTAGTCTGTAGAGTATGCACAATGCAAGCATGCCCACTGTGACTGTAAACACCCTTGTTAGTCGTTAGGCTAATCTCCAGCGGGCGTATGTATTTTCCGATTGCTCTCAATATCACGCCAATTGGCTCGATGATCAGATACTTTCCCCGATTGAGCTACTGAGGCGGGCGCAGCGCCCTGTGTTCCTGGGGAAGTCTGATAAACAACCCAAAAAGTCTGAAGTAAAAGAAGACATTCGGGTGCCACAAACATTCCGATTACACACTCAGTAGACAGGATTATACGGAGGCATTCCCAGTAACATTCGTAGCTCCCAGCGCTTGTAAAGGCAACTAGATGTGATCATCTGGAAGTTAACAGTCAGTGAGAGAAGAGTCACACGAGTTTTTGAAAACACGAGGTCTCCTGAGCGCGTCCCTCTGCGTAATTTATAACTCGGTGCTGCCGCGTCGGTGCCGGGGACGACAGACGATCTACATACGAGAGCGTCTGTCTGGGAACGACCGTCGGAGCCGCCGCCACGCGGCCGGACCAAGGGCCGGACGCTTCTTCACAGCCGCTTGTAGAAACATTTACGGCACGGCGCCGCGCCGTAAACGTCTTGTTCGGCCGTGCGCCGGGATTGGTGGGAGCCGCGGCAGCGGTGACGGCAGGTCGGGCGTCCCACGGCGCGTGGCCCCGACAGATGCGTGAGATTTACCGGGAGCGATGTCTCTGACGTCGGGGTGTGTGTTCATGCATAACCCTGAGGCTGGTTTTGTAAGCTGCTAGATGCCGCAATCGTCACCATTGTATTGCAGCGGAGAGGACTGGTGCGCATTGTATCAGGCTGATAGTTACCTGCCGCGAAGCCAAGTTCTGCCTCTGACTCACGTCAACACGTTTTATTGGGAGAGGGTTCCCTGCTGGTGGTCCGAGAATATGTTACCTGAGCGCCATTGTCCGGCAGGACGATATCTCGCTCGAGATATGGTCAACACAAGGCTGCATCGGCTCTAAATCAGAGCTCGGCGCCCATTGAGCGTTTCACAAGCGGCCATTGCCGCCCATGAGACGCAGGCTGCGATTATTCCTAACAAGCATGCAAGGGGCGATTTTCTTGGGTATTAAGGTAATTGAAACGCGTGAGCCGGGGTGAGTAAGCGATGCGGCCGCCGTCCACTGCCGGGCGGTCCGTGTTTAGACTGTTTAGTGAACAAATAACGCACCATCTGCCACGCAACTTCATCCTGCGGCTACTCGGAACAGGCCATTGGCGCCACTCGGTAGTCGTCAGCACCCGGGCCTCTCCAAGTGACCTCACCTCCGGGCGTCGTAGAATGGTACAATTGGTCGCCGCTCCGTGTGTCGGCGGTATTTGGGTTAGGGAGTACAAGGTTGAGATGACTTGAACCATCTCAGTCTTACCTGGTCATAAAAAGGAATTAAAAATAGAAGCGCACTTCCATCTAGAAGCAGTGCTGTAAGGCAGCTGCGGACGTGATGGTGAATAATTAAACGCACATGAATAATAAATGGTCTGAGATGAACTGGGCAAAAATATCTTAGGGTGCAGAAACTTGACCATCATCCAGTCACCTGACTGATACCAACCCCTCCGATATCGCGCATGACACCCTCGCTGGCACGCGTTGCAAAACATAGGCATCAACCAGTGTCCCTCGCTTGGTGCGACACCTCTGCCGTGCCGTTCCCCACCGAGGGCCTGTTGTCCAATCAGGCGCTACCAGCCTGAATCAGATCACCCTCCCCACAAAACACCGTCGGCTGGCGGCTTTCACTGGTGTCTCGCTGTCACTTTAATTCGTTTAAACCAGGATGGGTCAAAGAGCGGAGCGGGTCACTCGGTTCTAAACATCGGCTCGGTTGTAGCAACTGAGCACCTGTATCTGAGTATCTGGACCGTGAACATTACCCAGTGCACAGGGCCCAGCAACTGGCATCTAGCGTCTAGCGACCGTGCAAGCAAAGCTGGCGCGGACGGTGGGGTCGAGCTGAAAGGGACCACGCACGGACACTGTGCGGGCAGTCGGATAGGCTGTTGTGCGGAAACGCAGTCTCCAGCGTCGTTTAGCGCAGTCGGCAGTCGGCTGACGTTAGGGAGCTAGCGAGGGACATTGCAAAAAGGCGGTGCTTAGATGAATGTTGGCATGCATGCATGGTTAATGGAGAAGAACATAGACTGCTTACCACTGCTTTGGTATGCAGCGGTCTATGGTCAGAATAAATAGCACCTGTCATAAAAATGGCCCGTATACACGCTTCTGGTTTTATAGTGGTTTACTTAGCAATTATTTTTCCAACATAAAGAAATGGATCGATGCTGCTTTCAGTTCATTTCACAATCACAGAAAGGTTGCAATCGTTCAATACAATACAATATAATAAAAGGTTCACAATCGAAGAAAGGTTAAAAAAAAATCAGTCGTCTTGCTACTTGCTAGAGCGTTGAACGTTATTGCCAATGTCATTAAATATAAATCAAATGTGCCATTACGGGCTTCCTGCACTGCACCGATGTCATGCTTCTGATCACTTCCGTCCCGCCGTTGATAGGGTACACAACCAGCTAAGTAATGGGTAAAAGGGAGGAGAAAGGCGCCCTCTCATACCACCATCGATACACCTAACAAACACAGGGCACCCGTATGAGCTCAGATGAAAGTGCAAGTGTGCCGGCTACACGTACACACTGCCCCATTCTCCCGACTCCGTCTGTCTTCTAACGAACGCCATCGCTCAGCGCAGCGCCAGCGCCGGGCGGTGCTCCTCACAACAGCCGGCAGCTTCCGTGCTCGGGCCGAGCGGCGGCAAAAAGTGGCGCAGCGGAGACGATCAGGGCGCCGATCAGTGAATGATGACGTCATTAGGCGTCCGAGGCGGCGCCGACGAGCGGCGATAATGGCGCCATCTGTTATCGGTTCGGAGTACTACACCGACTGAGGCGCCGCGCCCGCCCGCTTCCAGAGACGGGAATGAATGCTCAGCTCAATCGTCATCATCGGTTGCCACTTGCCTGTGATTGATCTTGACTGACATGAGACATCTCTCCTGAGCCACCCTCCCTCGTCTTCTGCAGCTGGCTTCAGGAATTAGGAGCAACATTGGACGCTGCCAAGACATATATGTAGATGACTCTGTCTGTGTATGATTTACTCTTGCCGAACCTATCGGTTTTCTACATGCGCCCCGGCCGATGAGGGGGGCATGGAACCCTTCCTCCTCGCCATTTCTCCCTAATTGAACTTAAGCCTCATGCAAAACAAAACGAGTGTGTGCGATGCTACGAAACGCAGCGACCGATACGCGATCTTAACCTTCCAGGCGGTGGGGGGGGGCATTTTTTTGCCCCCCCCCCTTTAGTTTTTTCAATATATCTCAAGACCCGCTGCGCCGATCGTCACCAAACTTTCAGTACCCTCCCGGAAGCAGCTAGCGCACATGGTGACCAAAAACTTTTCCAAAGGCTATGATAGGTTGGCCGCTAATGACGTTAGAGTGACGTCATTCTTGCCATTTTCGACCCAAAAAAAGGTTTCGCGGGAAGAGCTCAGGCCTACAGCTTTATGCCTGAAGCAGACTCTTTCCGCAGTCAGGAAATCGCATGCGAGAGCCTATTCAAATACATGGAAGCACTCTCGCATCAATCGCACGCACCTCCCGGATGCGATTGATGCGGGAAGAATTATAATGTATTTGAATAGGCTCTCGCATGCGATTTCCTGAACGCGGAAAGAGTCTGTTTCAGCCTTTAGAGATACAGAAAAATGTTTCAACATAAAAGGTGTGGAATGAATAGGGCTACAAAACTGCTATTTTGGTTTTTCGAATTTTTTTATTTTGACCCCTAAAAATCAAAAAATAGATTTTTTGAATATAATAGCCAAAAAATCCAAAAAGTGTTTGGAATTTCAAAAAAAAAACGGAATATATGTGATAGTCCCTACCGCCTTCTGAGTGTATGTGAGTGTATGTATGCCTTCTGATATATGTGATAGTCCCTACCGCCTTCAAATTTGAGATCGATACCTCTTTTTTTGGCCAAGTTATAGCGAAAAAACTGTTCAAAATTGATGACCTCAAATTTTCAAACTCAATTTTTAGCAATTCTAGACCTCGTAGCGCAAAACAAAGACCACCATTAGACTCCCCGTGACGAGCTGCATCGAATCAATACCCATTTTATGCAAAAATATCAACTTTGAAATTTGACCTTTTTTGACCTGACCTTGACCTGACCTCCACCAGAAAGTGACCTAAACCGTACCTGATGGTCTTATAACCAACACCATTGAGTTGGAAATGAAAAACTGGCCATAAAACATGCATCGCATAACCTTAGTAAAGTTGGGCTCATGTGGTGACCCTTGGTGACCTTTGGTTACCTGACCTGTGACTTGACCTGGTATGACCAGTGACCTCTAATAGCAACATATGTACTAGAAAACTGACGCCTTATCGCTGATTTTCGACAAAATGCGTTTTACTCGGTGTTATAGCGCTTTCCCTAGAAGCCCCGTGAACGGTGAAACATTTTATCTTTGACCTGACCTGTGACGTCATCGGTGACCCCGAGGTCAATGAAATTTGGTTTTCCTTGACAAATTTGACAGGACTATCGAACGCCGTTTGAATTTTCCGGATCCGTCCAGTAGTTTCGGAGATAGGGGGGGGGGGGCAAAAATGCCCCCCGCGCGGAAGGTGGCTGGTAGGCCCACCGCCTGCCGGGTTAAGGTCTCAGGTCAGCCGGTGGCCTCTGAGGTCAGGTCAAGTTCCCTAAGGAACGTTTTTTTCTCAAATAACTTCGGCAGAGATGGTCGCAGAGTCGCGATTTTTGCTCGTCATGGTGAGGCGCGTCTTTTTTGGGGACGAGGTAAACTAAGGGTGTTGACCTAAAGTCCAGGTCAAGTCAAAGCTACTCAGATAAAAAAAATGGTAAAAGTAGTTTATATGGCATACCATTCGATTTAAATGGGTGTTTCTGAGTCTATTGGTGACTGTTGCGGTTTGCTAGCTCAATTTATCGAGGGCTATTAACGAAAAATCTAGATGACTTTACTTGCTTCGTATATCCGTCTTGTGACGTCGCGCAAGTTTAGCGATGCAGAAGTCGAACATCAGAACCCGCAAGGTGTGAATTAAATCACGATTCCATGTACTTTAGGTAAGTACCTAGTCTTAGACTACATGCTTCCGGCCCCAAAATAACAGTTTCCATGTTTCCCCCATTGACTTACGATTTTTTATAATCCCTTACCCATGATCAGGCAGCCAGGAGTGCCCCGCCCTCAGTTCCAGTGACGCACATACTCCATACGTTAACACCAAAATCAAAATCAAACTTGGAAAAGTCGCGACACTTCCTGTTCATGAGAGAAAAGAAACATAAAAGCAGCGGAACTGACTATCAACGTCTACGATTACAAGGTCATGTGACCGACCTAATCTCTGGTGACCCTTAGAAGAAAAAAAATTATTGATAGGTAGGCATACACTATTGAAGTTGTGATGCCCTCGAAAGTAACTAAATTCTTGCAGTTTCATCTCCCTTTGAAACGCCATCTGGCACTGAGAGTATTGCCAAGCTACGACATTTTCGGACTGCGCAAAAGTTCGCTTATCACGTCATAGATCAGTGACCTGACCTGACCTGAACATGCAGTTTGTATCAGCAGCTTTGGCTCGAATCAATGGGCAGGTTTGTCAGCTTTCAGCTCTCTATCCGACAGCGCATTCTGAGCAGTTGCGAAAAACCGCCAGAAGACGGCACCCGCCCCTCCATTTCGCCGGCAATGGCTGCATGCTATTGCCGTTCACAAATATTTATTTGAAACATGGACTCATAGCTGATGCGGCCGAAGATATCTAAAAATTTATTTCAATAGTTAATTTTCGGGACAGCAAATATCGAAGAAAGCAGGGGGATTCTAATAGCCTCCACGGCACTCAGGCGTATTTTGTAATAGAGCAGTGACTCCGATGCCGTCTGCCCGTGTGAAGATGGCCCGCCGGTGACCTTGGCCAGGCCGCTGCCGGTCCGCCGTATAAAAGCAGCCCGCTCTGACCTGCAGGCCACCAGTTGACGGAGACAGTCGAGACCGACTCACCAGTACCACAGAACTCCACTGAGACGGCCATGAAGGTGAGAGTGGTGCAATGTCGTGGAGAGCGAGAGTGGAATCAGGAAGGGGTAAAGAGGTGTCATAGAAAAGTCAAGATATCTTATAATGAGCTTCTGATGTTGAAATGGGCCCATGCATTGTGCACCACCTGATGTCCCCATGTTCGGTGTCCCCAGCTCCTGGTTCTCGCTGCTGTGCTGGCCGTGGCTGCCGCCGTGCCCCAAGGCTACGGCTCTCAGCCCTCCAGCGGCTACGGAGCGCCCCCTGAACAGGAGGGAGCCGCCTCCGGGCAGCAGCCCAGCGTCCAGACGGCCTACAGCACGCCGGACGGAGCCGCCTCCGGACCCGAGGGCAACGTCGCAGAACTGCCGGCCTCCTACAACTTCGAGTACGCCGTGCAGGACGACGAGAGCGGCAACAACTTTGGCCAGCAGGAGACCCGCGACGGCGACGCCACGTCGGGCTCCTACTATGTGCAGATGGCCGACGGCCGCATGCAGATCGTCAACTACTCGGTCGAAGGCGACTCCGGATACGTCGTCGATATTCAGGCAAGTAGAATATGAAAAGCGATTGAAAAGATCAGTGGTCAAACGTTACTTTCATTCGGAAAAAAAATATAAACGATATTGCCCAAGAAAACGGTATTATGAAACAAGCCTATAGTTCGTTTTTTAAGTTTGCCCCTCACTGTAAACGTCTTTTTGAACACAGCCCGAGAATCGCTAGCTGAATTTGAGAAAACTGGTTGGCGCACATTGAGCTCAACAGATTTCACAGACGATCAATTTCATCAAATTTGTTTATCTATTTCACAGACTCAAAGCTCGTATTTGCCCATGCCTACAGCTCCACAGTGATAAACGACTTCTCAGAAATTATGTCTGAACTAATTTATAAATTATACGGCGTTCAACATTAACGTAACATCGTCGGTGTTAAAAACTTATTTTGAAAATATTGTTCATATCACCAATACAATGTGCGCCAACCAGTTTTCTCAGTAATTCAGCTAGCAATTATCGTGCTGTGTTCAAAAAAACGTTTACAGTGAGGGGCAAACTTAAAAAAAAACGAACTGTAGCAACACATTTGAAAAAGCATTTAATAATAAGCTCGCAGCGCCGATAGTTCTTGTTTTCAGTGTAATAAACGTACAGAAGCTGGTAAAAAGTAATAGTAAAACCGGCTTTAATTGATTATAACAAAATGCCTATCCATTCTCGCTTCAGTTCTGTTACAATGCTATTTCCTTGTTTCAGTACGAGGGAGAGGCAAACATCGATGCCGCAGCGTCTGGCCAGGAGGGAAACGTGGCAACGCCCAACCAGTCCTATGGACTGTAAATGGAGCATCATCATCACCGGTCTATGGAGTTGATACTGCAGCACTTTGTTTGTGATTACCTGATACCTACCGTGAAACTGATGTTGACGATCGAACAGAATGCCTCAATGTGCCATTGTGTAGATTTGAGACGATTTCTCATCGAGTGGATGGTTATTTATTTGAGTGTGTAAATACCTTATTTATGTCATGTGTGATCTTTCTGTTATGTGATCTGTGTCCTGAAATGAAAAAAAATACATGCAAGTTTATCTTACATAGTGAACTGATGAGCTTTTCTGACAGACGATAGGTCTTACTAAAGCAAGGAAATTATATGTACCCGAGTAAAGTTGTCAGTTGGTCCATGTGCCATCGATCACCAAACACGGCACCGACCAAATCGGCTGCTGTATATTACACCGGTGCCTTTCTTTGTACCAATCATCTTCCAGATATCTGAATGTGTCGTTCAGCCGTTTAAAATTTTTTGTTTCACCCGTCAGCATTTTGCTTTTGCGCCGATCCGTGATTATTTCCTCCGATGTTTCTTGTCCTTGGTTTCCAAAATATACTGAAGTGAAGTGAAGTGCTTATTTTCCTTCGGATGCCTTTATCACCCTGTGTAAAATTATGGACTACATTTGGAGCGAATCAGTTATGATCAGCTGCGGTAATGCGAATGCAGCGAATAGTGCAATTTACACGCATACAGGAGAGAGAGAGAGAGAGAGAGAGAGAGAGAGAGAGAGAGAGAGAGAGAGAGAGAGAGAGAGAGAGGAAAGAGAAGAGAGAGGGAGAGAGAGGAGGAGAGGAGAGAGGGAGAAGAGAGAGAGAGAGAGAGAGAGAGAGAGAGAAGAGAGAG